CATACTGCTGCATGGGCTTGGCTGTAGTTACATCGGAAGGTTTAAAAACTGAGCTTTAAAATGAACAGAGAGGCCGACAGTGATCACTGACTGTTTTTAGGGGCTTTTTCAGATTAAATAGAACAAGATACAAAGCATTAAAACATATTAAAAACACAACAGCCTTAATAAACGCAGAGTAGTTTGGACCCAGAAGCAGGATTCATCATCACTGAAAGACCGGATCGTCACCAACAGATGACCAACTTGACCCCATTCAGTCGCAATCTGTTAGCAGACTGACTCTATCATACTGCTGTTTTACACCAGCTTGGTTCATAAACAAGTTGGTCTGTGGTTAAAATCCAACAGTAAAAAAACAAACAAACAAAAAAAATAAATAAATAAATAAAAAAACCTTGATCACTGATTTTAATTTTTTGTCTTCCTCTTAGTTACCATCCTGTTTTGTTTTTTACTTTCAGTGTGAGCCATAATGTGGTCTTTGGTTTGTCATGTTCTCAAGACGGATTACAAAACTCTCATCTTACATATTTGTGTGTTTTGCAGTAAAAATGAGGACAGCCCAGTGAAAGATATCACTTAATTACAGCGGCATCTCAGGGGTTTCCAAGAACTTTGGTAGTCCATAAAACCGGAAGAACCTTTTCCTGAACTCGGATTGGATTTCAGTTGTTTTTGAGTAGGACTGCTTCCGAGAATTAACCCACTACCATTTAATGCTCTTTGGAAGGGAAACATATAGACTTAAATATAAAAGAACTCCCTTTCCACAGTGACATATTTGGGGGGCAGAATCAGTCACAGTGAGCTTTAGTTTAAGAACTGCAAACCTGCACAACTCCAACATCATCAACACTTTTATGTTTGTGGTGAAAGTTTCACTCACATCATCTTTGGAACTCTTCAGTCTGCAACAAATGTTTTGCAGAATTATTGTGAAGCTTCCAGTTGTGATCTCCATTTTACACAAGCGTGTATGTAACACTATCCTCCCCACTCACCTCACCAGTCCGAGCCATGGTCTGAGTAACCCTCATCACTCGGGCCACTCACACACAGACTCTATACTCAGACCAAGTCCTTCGCACTGCTTCCAAACACTTTGCTCTTCAATGTGTGCCTTTCTCGTTTTGCATGTATCCATCTTCGTTGTAGATTTTGTGTTCCTCCTATTTATATTTGATTCCTGCGCTGTTGGTGTGGAGCACCCGTAATTTTGTTGTACATGTACAGTGGCAATAAAGGGCTATTATATTCTATTCTTTTATCTTCTCTTTCCATCTCTTTGTGTGCCACAACTGCCGGGTTAAAAGTCCACTGTTGAATTCCTCTGCTAATGTGAAATTATTTGCCCTCTAACTGAATTTGTGCCGATTTCTCAGCTGTTGGAAACAATCGTGTCCATTCATTTGCTCGCCGCCCTCGTACGCTTTCCGCCTCCCTGAACCTCTGTCCCGTTTCCACGCGCAGAGGCTGAAAAACAGGCTTTGTCCATCCAAACACACGCTATCTCTATCAGACAATGTGCAGATTTGAAATGGGAATCCAGCTTATTGATGTTTCAAAAGAAATGCTGCTGCTACTCGCAAAGAAGCTAAAGAAATGAGATTTGTGCGAGTATGTAAAACCTCAACAGATCTTCCAGGAATATTTTGTTCTTAGTGTGAAGAACAAATTCAGTCCCCTGCGCTTTTGGCTTCAATTTGAAACTTAACTACAGTGCAGTGGTTGTTTTGGTCGTCTTGTGGTTTCAGTGAATGAAGTTTAAAATTTTCTTCTCTTTTTCCCTCCTCTTAATGAGCGGATATCATAATCATCATTGTCTCAGCTGCAGGCCTGCCGGCGCTCCGAACAGATGGAGCACTTTCATTAACTGGATCACCAGCAAAGCGCACACACACACACACACACACACACACACACACACACAGAAGCTGGAAAGTCACGCAGATAAAAGTATATTATCAGTGGAGTCATTCATAAGAAACCACACACACAGACACACACAGATGAAAATCCGTCTCTGGAGGAAGAAACACTCGTGCAGGCAAAAACAGGCAGGGTGTGACAAAAATGTAGCTGAACACCCGAACATAACAGTGTTCAAATAGTTCCTGGTTTAAAAACATAATTTAAGGATGCCTTAATTGAAGCTATATCAGTAATCAGCCCCTCACAGAGTGATATCAATTAAAGATCAAATAAGGTTCTCTGTGAGTAATACTACTTCTAACCACAAGATGGTAAATGGCCTGTATTTGTATAGTGCTTTACTTGGTCCTAAGGACCCCAAAGCGCTTTACACATCCAGTCATCCACCCAGTGTCACACTGGTGATGGCAGTTACATTGTAGCCACAGCCACCCTGGGGCGCATTGACAGAGGCGAGGCTGCCGGACACTGGGCCCTCTGTCTTGCCCCAGGACACAACGACCGAGACTGTTGGAGCCGGGGCTCGAACCGGCAACCTTCCGATTACAAGACGAACGCCCAACTCTTGAGCCATGATCGCCCCATGATGCTACATTGAGTCAGCGTAGCGTTCAACCTGCCCTCTCGAACTAATCTTTGCTCACTGTTTGTACAGAATTCATGTTACTGTGATATTTGTCTGACCTGCCTGTGATTAAGCATCGAACACTTTTTCAGCATGCGAGCTAGTTATAAAAATGAAACTGAAAATGATCTACCTGCTATAAAATTGTAAAACATTTATAAAACATCGAGTATTCTTTATTTGTACAATACATGTTGATGTACCTTGCATAACTGTATGAATCATTGCACAATACATTTTCGGTTATTACCTTACTCTGATGACTTTGACTGAATGGACTCAGCCAGGGATGCATAGTCCAGATATCTCGATGCACGCTCAATCATCCAGGTAAGTAAATCCCAAAAGGTTGATTCTGCTCATCTGGATGTAGCGTTTCAACCTTGTGGGATAGTCCAGATAGCAGCTGCTGTCAGGCCCACTTCCAAATGATCACCATCATGGTGGAACGGTAGAATTTGATACAGTAGAATCTACTGGTGAAATTTCAGTGAGCAGTCCAAAATTGCCGCTCCACATTTCGCTTCTTTGGAATAGCAGTGGTAGACTGGCAGATGAGGGCAAACACACTTTGAATGTGACATTACGAAAAAAAAAGTCCTCCCATTCTGTATGGAGATGGGAGGTTTTTGGCTTCTTACTTGGCTGATGTCAATTTTTTATTAAATGCCATGCGATCTGCCCATGCTACCTTTGCGATCGCTGGGTAGATCTTGATCGATGTCTTGGGCACCCCTGGTGTACACACATCAGACATCGAGGACTAGGAAATCCGTGGGCAGTCTGGCTTCTCATCACAACAGCTAGAGGTCACTGAGGTCTGGCCTGGCACAGATTAATGTTGTTAAAGACAACTTTTACTTTGAAGGAGTCTACAGGAAATTAACAAAGTTATGGCCCACTGCGCAGTGCCCCTGACTGGGTTGTGTTTGAGCTTTAGGTTGAGGAATGATTATTGTTTGGTTTAGAAACTGATCCTAGTCAAGCTGAGCACTTCACCATACAGCCACTTTAGTTTATATCAGTAGAGCTCTGTATCTGACAGGAGAGGCGACCGCAACATCCTCTTGCTTGCTTGCCTGGTCTCTCAGCACACACAGGTAACTTCCTTTATCTCGTCTGTGCTTCACTACACCTGAGAACATGAAGGAAAAGGAGGGGAGGAGGTGTGGCTGTCACACCTGTGTTCTGCGACATCCAGTGGTGCCGAATGTCATGTACAGAGCTCCATGCACACACCTCGCCCTGCAGCATTGATCCTTTTTAAGTGTATTAGCAGTGTCACTGATCGCTGTGACTTGGCATTCTGCAGACACGTGAGTGCGGCATGAGAGCCAGCATGCAAATCTGGGCAACGCAAAATCTCTCACGCACACACAGCTCTAGATTAGATGATGCCTCGAACATCTCACAGAAATTCAACCTGCAGACACGCTGCAGTCAAACTTGACCTTCCAGTGTGGTTTGCACCAAACTGGCTGTTCAGCTGGGATTGTTAAAGCTTCCTGGAGTCTTCTGGTCCTTCTGGACATCCAGGTCCTGCTGAGCTGGTTTGTAGCCGACACCGCAAGGAGGAAAACTGGCTCCTCCAAGTCCCTGATTATTGGCTGGAAAATGATGGACTGTGCACTGTGGGTGTGAGGTTTTTCTTTACAGTCAACCCTTTAAAACCAGCACGTTTCAGGTCCGCAGCATGGACGTTGTCTGAATCCAAGAAAACAGATTATAAAATAAACTTTTCGTTTCTCCAAACCCAGTTTGCTGGTAGATTCCTTTCTAGTCTCACCTGTGGCAATGAGCTGAAGACAGGGACTGAAAGAATAAGCTCAAGGATACAATCAGAGTCTGTCAAAGGGTGTCTGAGTTCACCTTTAGCAATAAGATGAAGAGCTTATTCATTCAGGAGCTCAGAGGGGATCCACCGCTCATGATGATTGGGATGTTCTTTGGATGAGACTGCAGGAAAGCCAGAGGAAAGACCGAGGTCTGTCGCGGAAACACCTCAGTATGGCCTTCAGAAGAACTCAAGAAGGTGGCTGTTAAGAGGGAAGTGTGGGCATCTCTGCTTCTAGTGATTTTCTCACAGCTCAGATGGACAAATAGACGTTTAACTGACAACTAAAGTGACCAAGAGAGACATTTTCTTCATCACTTTAAAATCCTAAACTCCCACATTACAGTCCTCCCCCCCACTCTGAGAATTAGCAAATACCATTTCAAACACCACCTCAGTGAATATTTAAGATTAATTGTAATTCCACTGAAGCTTCTCAAAGGGGGAAGGAAATTCAGGAAAGCCCGTCTGGCTCTTTAGATTCAGTCAAAGCTAAACTGCAGACAGTAACGTGGACTTTGACCAGAAACTGATCAGGAATTACTGAGGTCATTGATCAAAGATCAGAAAATACCACTTTTTCATTTAATTAATTTTTATTAATGTTAACACATTTATATATATAAAAAAATGACATTTCATTGGAGAAAAAGGCTTTTTTCAAATATTCAACAACACATCAAGAATTATTCTTGTATAAAAAAAGTGAAATGTATGAGGTGGCAGGCGACCAATACAAACGTCAGTTTTACAGTTATTTTGCCAACACATTAAAGCTTTAAAAACACATGATCTCATAATTATGTAGCTCATGACAGCAACAGAAAATGACTTTTCCCTCAAACATTTAGGAAGCTGTGCTGAACTCAGACTCACACATGGCATCAAACAGCTCTTCATACTGAAAACATGCTCACTTCTTCTAATGTGTGAGTGCTTCACATACCTCTGCAGAACATGACTGCCGGTCAGTCAAAGCTCGTCTCTCTGTTTAAACAGACACCATGTTGACTTCCACAGGCCCTGTTTACACCTCTCATTAATGTGCATCCACAGCTCCAAGAACATGAGGGGACCAGTTCTTCCAGGATGTCTCTCCCTACATTTTCTTTATGTTTGCAAAGACCAGATGCCAGAGTCCTGCACGGGTCCTGGTTTGCAACCCGGCCCCACATAGCTCGGTAGACTAGCAGAGCTGTGAGCTGTGTAGGTGGTCCTTCAGTGTTGCCCAGACCACCTTCAAAGATGGTCTGAGTAACCAGGTTTTAGTGCGTGAGAACAGCTCTGAACTTGGAAATCAACAGAGATGCTGGATGTCAGGTACCAACAGGGCCAAAGATGGGCTCTACAGTTTGATTCTCACAGAAGTCTGAAACCTTAGAAACAAAACATACTTTTTCTAAATTGTAATGAAAATATTCCACCACAAGGTGGCAGCACGTTGAGCAGAAGGTTTCATTGTTGCTGTCAAACTGTCATCTTTTCAATCGTATTTTCTTTTAACTATTCTGAAGGATGAACTCTAACGAATCCAGAATAAGTCGGATTAGCGCGACTATTTTTGGGACGTCTTTACCTCAGTGCGCCACCTTCTGGTTTAAAGTCTTATTACACACAAAAAATAGAACCCGGCCCCGTTTAAAGTCTTTAGAAAAATTTAGGTTTAGAAAAATTTCAACGTCACTCTCGGTCATGAGCTTGGACACAAACGCTGATGTTCACTCAAAGTGAAGCATTTTCCTGTAAAACATGCAACACTGTACAAAGTGAATTAGGAAAGTACCGTCACAGGCAGACGTGGACTATGAAGTACAAAATACTACAAATATTTGATATAAATGGCAAAATTATATACCGTCATGTAGTGAGGGGGGAGGTCAGTTTGTAAGCTGCATTTTAACATTAGCACAGTTTGAGGACATCACCGTGGATATATAAACCTCTCCCATATCATTTTTACAAAATGTGAGGTCCCTGCAAGTCAGACTTCAGAGTGAGAAGATCTCCAACATTCGGTGCATCCTGTGTATCATTGTATACAGACTTTCTTCCATCTTCTAGCAGAAGACCTGATTGTTTTTGTGGTCTTGTTTCAAGTTATTGCTGTTTGAACTGCTCACAGCAAGCTGCAAACCTCTGTCCTGAAGAGCCACAAGAAAGCGTTTCCACTGGCACTCAGGTAGGCGGGGGTCCGTTGACGTATCTCAGTGTCAGGTGGCAGGTACGGGCCATCGTGTTGCTGCGGTGACATGGCTGCTCTGCGAAGACCCAGGCCAGACAGGCCAGCAGAACCAGTGCTGCAGCCAGGAGGAGGCAGAGGAGGGTGGGGGAGAGCGAGGAAGCAGCCCCGCTGCTGCTGCTGGAGGTCACACGGGGAACACTGCAGGGGAAGGTGGAGGCGTTAGTGTTTGGTTTACCTGCCCGGGGAGTTTAAAGGAGCTCAGTGCAAACCATTAGGTTTTAAGGAGAGCTGCTGATGTCAGATAAACTGAGTCAGGGCTGCAGTTTGCCATGTTTGATGTAATCTGATTTCGCCAACAATAACATTAGGAAGCAAGATGTAGATTCATTGGCCACTTTATTAGGTACCAATAACATGGCAGCAGTTCTGCACATTTAGCCCTGCGGTTAAGACAGCCTGCTGAAGTTCAAACTCTGCATCAGAATGAGGAAGAAAGATGATTTTACACACTCAGGTTTACAGATAATGGTCAGAAAAAATTCTCCGGGAGAAAGTGTCAAACTGCTTTAAGCTGAAGCAACACCAACTCAAATACTCACTCATTACACCCAAACTATGTAGAAGAGCATCTCTGCATCTCAAACCTTAAAGCAGACGAGCCACAGCAGCAGAAGACCACCAGGTACCACTGCTGTCAGCTAAGAACAGAAAGCTGAGGCTACAGCTCACAGACCCACCAAAACTGGACAATAACAGATGGAAAAAAGTTTCCCGATGTGTCTCAATTTCTGCTGCGACATTTAGATGGTGATGCTGACAGGATGGATGCATGCACCAGTTCAGGCTGCTGGTGGTGTGGTGGTGTGGGGGAGGTTTTCTTGGCACACTTTGGGCCTCTTGTCTAAACTCTGTAGCCTGCCTGAGCGTTGTTGCCGATCACCTCCATCCCTCAGTGAGAACAGTATCCCATCGTCTGATGGGACTTCACTGTGCTCACAGTGTCCACAGTCACCAGATGTAAAAAGTTATAAAGTCATCAGAAACTGCCCTGGAAATACTCCATTTAAATAAAACCTGCAGAAAATATAATTGAGGCACTAAATCAATAATTAAAACATGAAAAGTTGAATAATTAAAGCATTTTAAGAAATTTGCTTTGGGCATCTGAAGTTTGAGTAGAAAGGCGAGTACTCTCAAAGCTGTGCAAATGGAAACTGACTGTTTATGTAACAGTTTTCTTCTCTTCCTGACCTCTCAGAGCTTTACATCCACACAGTCACATCAATAAAGGCAGTTCGAGCGCTTCATCTCCTCTCAGTCACCAGCCTGAGATGCGCGTCTTTGTGGTTCGAGAAGAAACGCGAGCAGCCGGAGAAACCTCCTCACACTGAGGCGACACCACAAACCTCATCTGGTCTCAGTATTTCAGGGAGTTCACAGACAAAGGCCGTGCTGATGGGACACACGACGCACACCGATTCCATAAAAAGTGACAAAAACATTAGCGTCCATTGTGTGTGGGAAGAAAACTTATTTTTACAGCGAAAAAAACAAAAAAAACCAAAAACCCTAAACAAGCACCGAGTGCGCTGCTACGTAATGGGAAATTCACAGAGAAACTCGCGCTGCGGCACACCTGCACCAGGGTAACCCTCCGCCTGCCCCACTCCTGCTTTACAGGTGAAAATAGAGCAACAGGACCGCTGAGTCTTTGACTTTATTTATTTTCTGCTGTGTTTTACTTGCATCTATTTGAAAGACTGAGTGTAAACACAAAAAATATTTTATTTTATGTGCTGGAATGTGCAGAAAATAGGTTTAAATGTTAAACTAATTTCTTCCAGTCAGAGAATGTTGCAGATAATTAAATGTTTGCTTGATGCATAAAGTTAAAAGATTAAAATAAAACAAGTTTTAAAAAGAGACTTTTTCATTTGATTACATTTTGTATGATGGATTATGCAGAAAAAGTAGAATTGGGCTGAGAGATCTATCGCTTTATCACCTACTCAGGTTGTAAATCGTGTTTTTAAAAAGTAACTCAGTAACTAAGTAATTAATTACTTTTGAAAATAAGTAGTCAGTAAAGTAACGGGATTACTTTTTTGGGGAAGTAATCGGTAATTAGTTACTGATTACTTTTTTCAAGTAACTTGACCAACACTGTATTCAACCGTCTAATCATATCCTAAATCTAGAGGTCAGCTATTTATGTGACCAGCTTACCAACTTTGTTTATATTCCCAGTTAAGTATTGAGTGATATTTAACCCTTTTATGGCTCCAAGCCTTTAAAAACAATACAGTCATCATCCTACTTTTGCATGTTTTCAGGTGTTTCTTTAAAAACACAGGCTTTGGGACACAGTGTCCCACATATTGAATATTTTAATACTTGAAAAATGAATCAGTTAAGCTTGGGCTGAGACTTAAGCATCATATCAGGCATATCTGCTCCACGTGACATCATACAGATCCGACAGTAGAAAAAACACTGATATAGTATTTACAGCTATCTGAACTCATAATTACTTTTGCATTTGCTGACCTGAACAAACTGTTAGAATGTTAGAACAGGACATGAGTTCCTCTGAGGGATTTCTGCATTTCCTCACCTTTGTTCAGAGATGAGACGCTCGGGTTCCTCACAGCAGTACAGCTCCTCTTCCTCCTAAAAGAACAGAGAGCCTCCAATAATCCACACCAGTGTCAACAGCTTATAACTTTATAGATTTAAATCTATCTACCAACACGTCCAGATGCTTATTTTCTCCTTGAAGTAACAAAAACAAAGAGTTGTTATTGAAAACCCATCAGCTCACCGGTGCTTGTGACTGATAGTGGTTCCTCATCCTATCAGAGCTGGCCTTTAAATTCAGGTGATCTGACGGTGAAAGCCGCCGTGTGTCATCGTGGCAGCCATGGCTGCTGCTGGATGCATCAGCGTGGTTTTCATCCATGCAACCCTGCGACATCTGAACGTGGGGATTTTGGTAAACAAACGTAAATGTTAGAGTTTACTTCATCCTTCCTCAAATCACAGTCAATGTTTAAAGATGGACGACAACTCAGACACGGACGCTGTGTTTCTGAGCTTTGAGATTATATTTGCATTGTTATCCGTCAGATCGGAGAGCAGCAACATCGGGATTGAAGCATTAAGCAAATGTGGAAGTCCCAAAAACATGCAGCTCCTCAAATGTCCACTAGCAGTGAATCAGTCCACAGACGCCCAAGTTAACGTGGTTACAAGCACCTGTTTGGTCTCTATGGCCAATGTCCTCCTTCATAACAGCTGTACGGGGATAGATTTTGTTTTATGACTCATTTTTCATCACGGCGGTGTCCATCTTTTATATACAGTTTATATCCTGTCGCATGAACAAACGCCACACACTTCTGTTTTCATCACAAGTTTGCAGCTGCTGCAAAACATCGACAAACTTTGTGACTTTCCCCTTCGCTGCTCTCGATCTGGACTTGCAGCTAATTTCTCCTCCAATTTGTTTTGCACTCACTCGATAGTTTTTTCTGTAATGAACCTCCATTAGAAAGTCCCAGTGCTATTTCGCACAAACACGCGCTCAATCAAATTTGCATAATTCAAATTCAAGTACATAAAGAAATCTGATACAATAACACTTTGTCATCTGAATTGACCCCTAAAAACTAATCCACAAACTTTCTTCCCTCTCTTCCTCATCTTTATAGATTTCCTGCACACGGACAGTTATGTGGACCGGCTCTAAGTCAGACGGAGGAAGACAAGGGCAAGGAGAAACTAAAGAAGGAAGAAGAAAAGGAGGAAGTCGGCGTGCTTCTCTGTTTTTATGGTGACAGTTAAAGTGCAGTCAGACGATGCATAAATCAAGACTTTATGGATTCATTCGGCGGCCCGAGGAGCAGCAGACGGGACGGAGGAAGAGGAGGATAAATAGATGCTATTCCCCAGTAATGAGAGCGAGGGAGAGAAAATGAAGGCTGAGGCCAATGAAGTCTAAATGGAGAGAGAAACATGAGGCCTGGAGAGGAGGGAGAGGACAGTTATTCAGGAGGATGAATCTGGGAGGAAAATAAAGGCTGATGGGATCTGTTGTGTGAGCTGCAACTTTAAACTGGAACATATAGACTGTGCGGCTGCGTCAGTGTAAAGCCTAAACCTGTATTAATGAGCTTCTGGGGACACTTCTGCCTCTTCACCCACACTTCGGGGACCCGACTACCATCTCGGGACAAACCAAGGTAAACAATAAGGACGTGAGTGAGCGCTAAACAAATCTGTGCTCTCCAAAGTCGGGCCGCAACTCGACATCTGTGAGCACGCAGGACAGATTTGTAAGAGCCGAATTGGATTTGTGTGTGTGATTGAGGACAAACTCGTTAATGCAGCAGCTGTTTGGAGCCATGCAAAAGAAATTGTGTAACTAAATCTGAGAGATCAACAGAGCTTCTCTTGCTTACAATTATCAAATCTGCTCACGCTCACTTTTGGCAGTCAGCGAGGAGAGCGTAGACGGTTTAAAGCTGCGCGTCTGACATGTCGCTCACAGCTTCGATTTCTACAAACTTGCTTAAAAAGAACTTAAAAACTTTCTAACTCAATCAAAAAAGATATTACAGATGTCCGTGTGATATCTGCATAGATATCAACTAAAGTTGAACTAGACCTGAGCTGTACTAGTGTGTAATTCTGCTTTTAACCACAAGGCGGCGTTCGATTTACCCTCCAGCACAAGACCTCTTTTCAGGCCACTGCTAGCTCCAAATTTGTACAGAAGTCATGTTAACGCCACACTTTGCTGATTTATTTTGGTAGCTTCAGGAGCTCAATCTGTGCCGTCGTCGTTTTTAAATAGAAAACAGTACAAACATTAAATTAGGCCAAACTTTGTGGTGAACTGCTGCCACCTTGTGGTGATGTTTGAGAAACCGACTGTCCTCAACTCTTTTTTTTTTCTTTTTTTAACTGAACCCGTTTTCCTGGAGTTGAGCATTAACATTCAGCACATGAATATCATCTGCGTGTAAAACCTCCTGACCTGAGTCTGCTGACATTCTGCTTCACTCTCCCACAAACAGATGCTCTCAAATGAAGGGCCGACCTCGAGGGCACCGGCTTCGTTTTGGAAGTGTTTAAATGGAAAATCAAACCGTTCTGAATGCACAGCTCCGCTCATGAACTTCTAATGACTTAAGATTTGTGAGAAGCGCAGCAGCACCAACTGTTTAAGCATCTCTGAGAATGTTATTTGTAAAGAATAAACTATAAAGATAACTTCAGTGATCGAGCGCGCTGTTCGGTTGTTTTTCATGGTATATTTGGACCACAGGAAGTATAACCATGGATCTTGAACATTTTTTAAGACAGTACCTTCAGCCTCCCATCAGTCTGCACTTCTTTTGAACAGGACGTGCTCCTCTCTGGCAAAGCGGCACTCTGGACTCTCAGCCACGCCTGCACGCGGCCTCCATCAAAGTCAACCGGTTCGCCGTCCTGTCGGTCGGGAGTCGAGGTCTTCCACTGGTCCCTGCAGCCCAGAGCTTCTGCCTTTTGGTCTGCGACAGGCGAGAAGCCCAGCTGAGTGTGATCAAGCCATTCCTGCAGACAGAGTTCATTATAGAAAAGTTTAAAACCTCACTGAGATGATTTAACTTTTTTATTTTCCAAGTCAAACCCAGAACTCTATTATCCATCCAGGTTTGCAAAACTTCCAGTTATTCTGCTCATTCCCACCTCCGTGTTTTATTATCTGCTGGAGCAGCTTAGCAAGAGTTTGAGTAGAAGCAGCAAACAAACAGGAAGACAGCATGAAATAAAGAAAAGCAGAAGGTTAATTTTGTTCCACAAAAAGGGAAAAGTGCATCCAGGCTGCTCACCACTAACTCTGCTTTGCGCTTGTACATAAAAGCTAAATGAAAGATCCTGTGTGTCCTCATGCAGACAGGGTCTATGCTGGTGTGTGAGAGCCTACAGGTTTATAGTAACTGGTGTGTTTTTAGATCTTTAAGTACCTTAACGAGTCGTGTAATTATTTTATTCTGACAAGTAATTAAGTAACTTAATTTTGCCAAAAGTAGTTTAGTAACAAGTAATTAAGTTATCAGTTATTTTTGAGTAGTCACCTCATGACCTGTAAGGTTTAGTTTATATCGATATTTTTTATTTTAATCTTATACCAGCTTGTGTGCATTTATTTCTTTTCTTAATTTTTTTTAAAACATTGTGGGAAATGATGCAAAGATTATCTGTGCTGTAAACATGATGTTCATTAAGACGACGCCACCTTGTAGTGCAGGTCGTCATTACACTTTGCAGAGGGCTCTCACAAAATGTACCTTTAATGAGTTAACTGTATAAAAAGATGACCAGGAACATTTTCAGTCATGAAATCACAAGAAGTGGAAACAAATCTTTTTACAGGGAGCCAGCGGTGGTGTAGTGGACATGATCACAAAACTCTGCAGGCACGTCTTTTGAGTAGCACTCAGAATTCATGCGGCGTGCGAGCACCCAGAGACGAGGTCACACAGTCGCAGATTTAATGAAGTACGACCACACGAGTCCTCGGGGCAGGCGGTGCCGAGCCGAGCCCGTGGGGATGGCACGCTGACATCACGTCTTCGCCAGCCCAGTAAATAATGAGGCTGGGCTTATAAGAAAGCAGAGCGAGATGACACAAACTTTGATGTCTTTGTTGTGATCCTGCAGCTGTAATCAGATGCTAATTCAGTTTTACATGCGCCTCTCGTTTGTTTCTTTCCTGTTGGGCTTTGGGTTTCACCGACAGTGCGACACAGTGCGTTTGTCTGAAAGAGACAGAAATACACAAAAACGAGGAAGCTACAGGCTGCCAGAGGAGGACATTCAAATTACTTCAGACTCTGACAACGTCTGTCCTCGCCTTTGTTTCCAATCTTATTTTCCCCTTTTTCCCTCCTCTGCCTGTCTCATACAGCAGCTTTTTCAGCACACTGCAGCGTCTCGCCACAATAAAGCTAAAAAAGGAAACCCGACAACATGCAGAGGTGCCACGTTCTGCAGGCATCATCAATAAATCAGCAGAAGAGGAGGTGAACTGCTGTAACCAGCTCATACAGCCGACAGCCGCTGATGGGGAACGTTTTTAGAGAGCCGCTGTATCTGAACATCAATGACTGTGTGAGAGAGACAGAGGCAGGCAGACAGGCCTCTGGGCCATGCAGCATCTGGGTCAGAGCAGAACAACCAAGAGGAGAGAGCAAACAACACAATTAGGAGGCCAAACGCCACAAAGACTGGCTTTAATTTCATCCAGAGGTTTTTGCAAGAAAAGGTTTTCCAACATCAGTGTTTTGCTGGTTTATATCATCACGGTGTGCTCCAGACTACAGTTTGGTGGATGCTGTGATGGAGGTAGAGATGGGAGGTTTTGTAGCCATTTCATTGACTAAAAAAAAAACAAAACCAAATTATGTATTTTTTCAGAACCTCGAGAGAAATAAATGACTTTATCCATTCAAAAAACAAACAAAAAAAGCAATGTGGTTCATATCGTTCGAGCTAAGGCGTTAAACCGGAGAACAAATCAAACACTGCTGGATGGTTTGACAATCACCTGTCATACAGATGTGAGTGTGCGCAGGCAGAAGGAATCACTTCTACCATAATGGAACTAAAGGTGTTCCCCAGGGTTCAATTCCAGGACCACTCATTGTGAGAATCTTGGTGGTATCGTAACAGCAAACGTTTTTTTAGAGTGAAACAATCTCTGCGATTTAAAACAACAAATGATGATTTCAAACGAGAAAACTACTCATCACTGCAGTCCAGGGCTCGGAAACTGGAACCAGATTTTTACTTCAGAATCCAGTCCTGTCCGTCCTTCGAGGCCGGTAACGGACGAGCTGCTTCCACTTTTGTGCCACTTTGTGCGTGTCAAATCAGAAAACTGGAGTTTACGGTTTGTTTGAGGGAATAGAATAAATGTATCGCAGTATCCTCCATCACCAAAATATAGATGAACTATTGACTCTGTAACAGTTTGATCAATAACAAATTACAGTGAAGTCACCGCAGTCGGGCGATTCTCATCCTTTGAAAGAGAAGCACGGAGTAACAAAGTAAATAAAAGGACATAAATGACAAATGGGCGGCAGAAGTGGAATATTTCCAAGAGTTTGTGCAGCAGGAAGTCTGCGGGGTTCACTGCAGATCACAATCAAGATTTCTTTCTACCAACCTGTGGAAATGGATCAATGTTAGACTTTAACTCACCAAGTCTCCCTCCTGGTTCCCGATGTCGGCGCTGATGTCAGACCGAGAGTCAAAGGAACTCAGGTAGCTCCACCTCTTCAAACCTGCAGAAGAAAAAAAAAAAATCCTGTTGACAGAACAAATCTGCATTCTCACGGTGCCACCTTAGATTTCTTAAGGCGGTATTCCCGTGTAAGGTGAGGCATCTTCTTACCTGTGCTGGCACTGAAATACGATGAGTCGGCGTCGTCACGGGAGACAGAGCGTCCAATGTCAACTGACGGGTCCCACTCCAGCCCCAGGTGCTCATGGGTAGGAGAGGATGGAGGAGGAGGATGGTGAATGGGTGAGGGAGGGTCTGAGGAGGAGGCAGATGAGAGGTTTATGGTTTTGATCTTAATCCTTTTGTGAGTAACTGATCAAATCGACTCCTTCAGGTCAGAGATGTTGGTTTACCTTTAGGATGGTTTGACGATGCGGGGAGGTCCACATTTTGCTTTTCAGCTGTTCCCTCATCTTCTAAAAGACTCTCCGAAGGACAACCAGAGTCTGTAGCCTGGGACAGGATGCAGTCGTCCTCAAACACCTGGAGGAAGAGGATATTTATGAGTGCTGGGGTTTGGTTGATGTGCATGTTTTTGAAGCTTGACTTCAGACTTTATCACAGTACTCAGTTACTGGAGCACTCATGTCAGCCCACAACATTAAGTCCTTAATACGCCCGAGTTACTGTTACGCATCTCTATGACTGGAATATCTGGATAGTCCATTCAGGATTCCTGAATCTGGGAGCTACTGCCTGCAGACACGGCTTCTGGGAAAGATGGCCAATGTTTCAGATGCAGCCAGTAAATCTGGGCCAAAGAAACAAAGAGGGGCCTGATATAAGAAAGTCCAAAACACGGAGGCTTAGATGATGACAAAGAAACCTTGCTCACAAACAACAGGAAGCTAAAATAAAAAACGACAACTGATGCCAGTATATTCAGTCTATTCCTCAGAGACCTGTTACCTGCATGCAAACCAACCCTGAATTGTCAGCATGATGAAAATAGTAACCAGGAAGCTTCTTGGAACCAATCCGAGGGTTAAGTGGGCGTCCGGTTCAGTGGTCTCAGGATCTCGTCTCTGCTTCTTGGGGATGATGGTTTTATTGGCTTCGTCAGGTGGCGGCCGAGGTTGGAGCAGATTGAATGAAAATTAGCGCCTCAAAGTCTGAGGGCATAGTTCTCAGGTGGAAAGAGGGGAGTGTCAGGAGTGAGTTGCTCCCACAGAGAGACGTATTCCGAGTTCTTCTCTGCGAGTGAAGCAAGAGATTGAAGAGCAAAGCCAGTCTACTGGGAAATGGCCACAAACCTTCAGTGGTGATAGAAAGAATGAGGTGGTGGATAAAAGCAAGAGAAATGAGATTCTGCCCAAGGGTGTCTGGGCTCAGCCTCGGGGATGGGATGAGGAACTCTGGGAGGGGCAAAGAGGCGGCCCACTAATCCTCATCATCGAAAGGAACCAGTTGAAGTAGTTCGGGTATCTGACCAGGATGAATCCTGTGTAAAATGTTCTGGGCATCATCCAATGGGAGAAGACCCTGGGACAGACCCAGGACACGGAGGGGTAGACTGGGAATGCCTTGGCATCATCCCAAGGAAGGAAGGAAGGAAGGAAGGAAGGAAGGAAGGAAGGAAGGAAGGAAGTACAAAAAACCTCATCCCTCAATTTCTGAATATTCCCACTAACCTGAACCTGAATGTCCCTTCAAACATAAACTCATCCTGGACTTCATGAGGCACAGACGGCTCCACCCCCACCCCACACCTCTGCTGATCTCACCTGTGAGGTCGTCTTTTCTTTGCACTACCTCAGAGCACTTTGCATCTGGTTCTCTGATGTGTGCCTTTATCATTTTCAAACATATTCCTGTTGATTGTACACAATTCTCCTGCATGTTATTTACTCCTGATGTCTACTATTTATATTTTATTCCAGCACAGTTTGTGTGGTGCCATCGTTGAACATGTAGAATGACAATAAAGAGCTATTCTATTCTGTTCTATTTTATTGGGAGCTGCAGAGAAGTTCAATTTTACTTTCAAGAGTTTAAAATCAACATTTCAAACAGGTATTTGTTGGACACACTGTTAGTCTGTTTGTGCCCTCAGGTTACCAGACTCATGCTGACGCGATGCACAAACACCAAATGAATGATAAGTGTGATTACTTCAGATCCTGACATGTTTTTAAATGTCTAAAAGCACAAAAATCAAACACTATACCAATTACCTGAGACACGCTTTGATTAGTGTGTGTGTGTGTGTGTGTGTGTGTGTGTGTGTGTGTGTGTGTGTGTGTGTGTGTGTGTGTGTGTGTACCAGTCTCATGCTGAGCAGCCGCGTGTGTGTTCGTCCAATGTTGTTGTAGACGTGGCTGCAATGCTGCAGCAGCTCCAGCAGCTGGCTCTCGACGTGCTGAGCGTCAGAAGGCACACTGTGCTGGATCAACGCTTCGCCGCGCTGCAGCAGGGCGTTCACACGCCCCGAATTCTCGCACACGCACTCCTGAAACGACTACGCATAAAAAAAAGATGAAATAAAATGAACAACAAAGTAAAAACATGCAGAAAGAAACTGATGTGTCACTTCAAAACAAGCCCACACCTGCAGCTGTCTCAGTTTTTCACAGGCGTTTCCTGTCAGCTGCTCAACCTCGATCAGGCGGACATCCATGTCAGCCAACCAAACTGCAAGCTCCTCCCTTTGTGCATCAAACGCCTCCCACTCTGAGACAAAGAGCTGAGAGAGAGGGAAGAGTCAACTATAAAGAAGAGAGACGTGAAATCCTCCTCAGAAGGTCTGACTCGCGTACCTGCAGTTGGCCTGTGATTGACTGCAGTTTGGCGCTCACGTCATCCCAGCGGCGGCCGCACTCCCTCGCCGATGACAGCAGCCGAGCCTGCATGGTACCCTGGAAGAGCCGAGTTAGTGTTCGATTCCTCCGTGTCAGGCTGTCCAGCTGGATGAGGCGAGGCCCCGCCTCTCGCCGCAGCCTCTGAACACACAAACACAAAGTGCATCTGAAGCAGATGTTTTTTGGTTTCCCAAATCCAGGCTTGATCAGGTGGAGATATTCTTATATTTGGAAAACTTGGACGAGCCTGCGACTGTCGTCTTCCAGAAAGAATGAAACCCGAATCAAATCTATGCGATATGCAATCAGTTCAGAAAAACACTCTAAAAGCCCCGTTTCTGCCCGATTTCAACTAAATTGTGCATCAAAACAGGCTGAAAGAATTAAAACGAGTGTTTGTAGCTACAAATGTGGCTACACATCTACAGTGTGAGCACAAAGCCTCACTTTGTACATGCCTGCTATGAAAGTTCTCCTCTATGCAGACGACTTTCCTGTTCTCAGGCACAACTTAGATCTGTTGTAGAAATCTTATAGACACACACACTTAATAAAACTACAGTGTGCACGACTCCAGATCCTGATCCCTCGTCCTAATATGTGGCTCACAAAAACATAGCAATAAAGCAAATGCTAAAGCTTCAAAATGCAAAGTCCATAAACCAAAGGCTGACATGGGTTTATCACAAGGATGATAAATATACAACATATGGTCTTAGGACTAAAAGTATAAACAGATTTTAATCCGTTTTAGAGATTTGATGTTCATTTACCTGCAGATGCAAACCTGATCAGAACATTTTGCAAACCAGCATTTAACCTCCGAGGACCTGGCGTCCATATATGTGGACATCACATTTTGGATTGTCTAGACCAGGGGTGTCAAACTCAAACACACAGTGGGCCAAAATTCAAAACTGGAACAAAGTCGCGGGCTAACGTTAATATTTATTGAAATATATTTATTCCTCCAGATATAAGAATGAACCTTTTCTTATGGACTCAAACAAGTTTTGCTGAAAAACTGAATATGGAACAAGCAAAGCTTAATACGAAACAATAAATATATTAGCTGTATAATACCAGTAGGCCAGCTCTGATAGTCATTTGGTATGGCTTCGGCCAGAGTTTGACACCTATGGTCTAGACCAAAATACTAAATTTTGCTCTACATGGGCCTGATGTCCACTTACGAGGACGATATACTGCCAAGGTCATATCATCATATGTGGACCTCAATTTTCTCAGAAACAAAAATCAGATTAAAAAAAATAAATAAAATCATGCAATTCTTTGTTTTTACATTCATCAGGTCCCAGTCAGTCCAAATAGCAAAGAGAAATTAAAAATGCCATGAGAGTTCGGGTCTTAGGAGGTTAATGCAGGAAGTAGGTGAACTACATTGGGGGCGTCTTTCTTTGTGAGAGGATCGTATTAATGACAGGAAACCTCAGTGACATCATAGAGATGCATAAAGACGCTCAGTCTCCCGATTCTCTTCCTTCTCCTCCTTTTCCATCAAATTCTAACTCAGTCTAATTGTGTTTCTCCTCTTCCTCATTTTGTTGGAGCTGCAGACACAATCAGTGTGAACCTGAATGAATTTGTGCAAACAAGAAGAATCTACAGCTTTTCAGTCAGAGGTGGTCTTGTTATTTAAGCCGGCAGCACGAGTAGATTTATGCGTTGATGCTGCCTGCTTCAGCTTTACGACTGGCTGCTGAGTGATATTTACACCTGGCTGGGTGACAACTTTAACCATGTGCTGAACTTTGGCCCAGCTTTGCTCTGACCCAGGTTTTACTTTGTGCGAGTGCCTGAACACAAACACAGAGCTCAAACATCAATTCTGTCACAGAGAGACAACAAAAGAGATTCAGTGCACAACAAAAATACAGATGAGTCCAAGGTGAAAGATGGTTGCTGGAATCCCTGTGAGGTTAAAACACCTGAAGCCAAGTTTAGATTTCAGTTTCTGTTTAAGTTATTTCTTTTTCCCCACCTCAAACTTCTTCATTTCCTCCTTGGCGGTCTGGTAGGTAACGTGGACGGAGTTTGGGGAAGAGACGGCCTCCTCGGCCAATCTCAGCCAAGCATCCAAGTGGTCGTACTCCTTCATAAACTCATGCCAGAGCAGCCATCTCCTCTCCAACCTGGCAGAAATACGCACAAAGTGAGAAGTTTTCAAGCTGAAGAAGAAACCTGAGAAAAGTGTAACTGTGCTGTTATTAGTCTGCAAATTCATTGTTCAAAATTGACCTCAGCTGAAAAAATGCTGCAGAGTAGCCGCACAGCAACTCTTAAAGATCCATCATCTGTTTTACTGATTACTCAGGTCTGATTATCAGCTGAAGGACACTCACTGTCCACAGTCCTGCAGGTCTCCATCTTGGCTCCAGCTGCTGTCGACTCGCTGCATTTCCTCCTTTAGCTCCACTGGAGACGAGTGGACAGGAAGCCGGCACTGGTACAGATCCAGGAGGTGCTCCGTGTCACTCACTTCATCTCCGGGTACAACACCACTTCCTGCAGGGTTTGGGGTGATGCTGCTGTGGCGTTCCGAGGTGGGCAGGTCTATGCCAGGCATTTCAACATCATGTGACCTTTACCTGATGGAGAAGACGCCACTGATTAGAATTCACATTAATTCAGAGACATATGCCTAACGCAACACGCCAACAATATTGGTTACACTAACCACTGCCAACCACCCCTCCGTGCTCTGCTGATCCAACTCTGGGTCAGTTTGTGTTTTTCTGAATTTTTGGTTGATATTCTGTCCATGTCCATTAATATTCAAACAAAATTAATTCATTTTATTCTGAGAAAACTTAAATTCAGCAGGGGATCAAATAATTTCCTCACTCTATAGCCAAATATGGAGTTACTGCATTCAACGACTAAACGAAAGTCCCAGTTTTGCCAAGTGTTTGTGGGCAATAAGGAGAATCTTTATTCCCACAATCTTTAGTTGTTCCTGAAGTTGATGCGACTGCTTTAACAAGGTGACACGAACACGTTTGAGACGGCGCTCCTGGAGAAGAGCAAACAACAAGAAATCAGGCTGCCAGTCAGTGGTTTAAATCCTCAGAGCCACGACGACCACACAGCCATGAGTCACCATTATTGCTTCCACTAGGGGGACACACACACACACACACACACACACACACACCTTATTCATGAGTCACTCGGGTTCTTTATTGAGATGGAGCCAGAACTGTTCTCCATGAGTGGAGACAGAGCGGGTCTGATTTATGAAAAGCTGGACAAATTTACACTGCACCTTTCATTCAGTTGGTGCTCACAGTCTGTGTGTAATTATCTCCCGATTTACAGACGCAGCAGGTGATTACACACTCAGGACCTGTGACCGACATCCAGGCGCTCTCTGCACAATAAAACGCCATTTTCCCCTCCAAACGTCTCAAAATTAAGATGATCGCAAACATTTTCAGACAGCATTCAGGGGATTTGGCAATGTGGAAGTTAAAGTAGACGATCATGTAATAAAAGGGACGTAAATAGGAGATTTTATAATTTAGCCCAGTTACTTGTGCTGCTGACTAACCTGCCAGCTGTGCTTCCAGATGATGGTGAGAGACGTCTGTAAAAGCTGTTACAGCCCAATTTAAACACGTTTAAATACGCTGCTCTTCTCAAAGAAAAAACACTTTCATATCTTAGTGAGGACATCTAATTAACATAATGCTAACCATAACTGTAACCCTGACTCTAAAAACCACTTTGAGCCCCAAAACAGCTTCAAACTTTTAATGCTGGAATATTAAATTACAGCCGTTTGGTCCGTCTGCGCTTCATCACGTAAACGGGCATCAGAGACGCGATGATCAGTTTCCTGTTCTCAGCTGAGAGGAGAGTCTGACCTTTCTCCTCTGATGTCAGAGTTTGATCATCCAATCATGACGGGCTGAAACATTATTCAAATAAATAACTGCGTCTTATCGAATCACATTCCTAATCATCTGGTGATTGATTAAACTCACGACTTGTTGCAGCACAACAGAGATACTAAACTCCGGACACTTTCGACGCCACTCGAGCAGTTTTTTGTTTTTTTGTTTTTTTAAAATCAGTGCATGAACCAAAACCATCAAAAACTAATAAAGTGTGGCAAAAAAATACGAGCTCGACTCCACCTCAAGACTAACAGTGAACACAATTAAAAACCGAGTGAATGACGTACGTGTGTGCGCACCATGTTTGTATAGCTATGTGAGGTATATATGGGGACAAAGTGCCGTCTCCATGAGTCTGAAGGCATTTGAGACTAAATGTGGTTTTAATGTCAGGCTTATGTTAGGCATTGATTTTTGATGGTTAGGGAAAGCATTACGTCATGAGAGGTCCACGCAAAAATATGAAAAACACACGAGTCTGTGCGTGCGTGAGAGTGTACACACACACACACACACACACACACACACAAACTCAAAACACTTCCTGTCATAAATCATACCCATCTATTGTGCGTTTAGTGGAGGAGCAGGAGTGTACTCTGAGATAAAATGAACACAGAGGAAACAGTGATGGCAGATCTGCCAGTCTCAGCTCAGTAAATTCAGACAAATGCAAACTGTAGAGTCTCATCAGAAAGTGTGCTGCAGGGATTTCACAGTTCAGTGAAGCTGAAGTTCAAGCTCAAGTTTAATGAAGAGAAAACTGCTCGTCCTCTGTGTTTGAAGACAGTCTGCTTGGTTTCCCTTTCCAACACTCGTAGTTTTCTGTGCACCTTTAGTTAACCTCTTAAGCCCCAAGCCTACCTGATCTCCTGCTTTCAGGGGGCAAAAAGCAGGAGATCAGGTAGGCTTGGGGCTTAAGAGGTTAACTAATTAACTCTTATGATAAGGAAATAATAGGAGAAAATATCATTTATGGTCACGTATCGGTCAACATCTTTACTAGTTGATCGGTTTTTGTCCACCAGGGGGAAGAACAACAACATCATCAAGCTGACAGAGACCGTCTGTCCTCCTGCCAGTGAGCCATAAATCAGCGAGCCATCCCAAAAGATGTTTTCCTGAATTCCCAAGATGCACGAGGCAGTGTAGTGTAGTAAGTGTAGTAATGCACAGCTGTTTTATACAAGCCACATCTGGAGAGACTCTACGTAGCAGCCCCCTTATATTCAAATGCTTTGGCGACCTGTCCACGGTGTACCCCGCCTCTCGCCCTATGATAGCCGGGACAAGTTCCAGTAAACAGTTTCCTGATGAGTTTATGGTCTCAGATGTTGGATTGCAAACTCTCAGCACTGGCTTGTTTTTAGAGGTTTTTTTTCTTTTCAGCCCCTCAGGCTGCTGCTCAGTGATGCTATGATGGCCATCTTTTATATACAGTCTATAACTAACAGATTTCACCGTGTCGTCCGTTTGCTCCTCGTCCTTCCCTCTCCGGTCAGACAGCCACCTCAGGTGCTCGCACACACCTTTGTCTTTCCACCTGAGCACTTTAGTATCCCAGACTCATAGATCAGGCGCTGCCTGTCCTATCAGGCCGAGGCCGCCTCCTCCAGACTCCCACCTGGGGACTGAGTGTGTAACAGAGTTATGAGGCCAAGGCGTCAGACCTGGACCACTGAGGCTGCATAGATCCTGCTCACCTGTCTGCCTGCTACAGCAGAGCGTGTGCACCTCTCCAGTCTGCGTCCAGTTATATTTTAACCATTACACACCATTCATTTCTTACACAGCAAAAGCATGTGTGCGTGTCTGACCTGGACTTTACCTTCACACCAGATTTATGGCTTCAGGCCTTTAAAAGCTTTAATCAGGTTTGATTGTCAGATGGTAAACTGAGAGCAGCTTTGTAATGTCACATCTACTGACCAATCATGTTTGAGCAGCAGGTTTTAGTTGCCTGCAGGTAATTCACTGCACAGGACTGATTAAAGAGGAACTCCCTGAACCGAACCACTGGTGGTGGGGAGGGAGCTGACACGGCATCTAGATCATCTTTCGTGTAGGATAGAATAAAACAGCCGTTCATTGCCATTGTACGTGTACATCGACGCTGTGGTGCAGTCTGTGCCTGAAGAGGGCGATCGTGGCTCAAGAGTTGGGTGTTCATCTTGTAATCGGAAGGTTGCCGGTTCGACCCCGGCTTGGACAGTCTCGGTCGTTGTGTCCTTGGGCAAGACACTTCACCCGTTGCCTACTGGTGGTGGTCAGAGGGCCCGGTGGCGCCAGTGTCCGGCAGCCTCGCCTCTGTCAGTGCGCCCCAGGGTGGCTGTGGCTACAATGTAGCTGCCATCACCAGTGTGTGAATGTGTGGATGACTGGATATGTAAAGCGCTTTTGGCTCCACAGGGACTAATAAAGCGCTACACAAATGCTGGACATTTACCATTTGAAGTATGAAAGCGGCAGACAGGCAGGTTCATCTCAGTTCATTTAGTGACATTTATCACCTCAGTCTCCACAGAACAGACGTGAACATCTGCTTAACATCTGAACACACACACGGCTGTTTTCCCACTGAGCTCAAAGAGTGAATGAAGCTTCAGTATGTAGATTTACCAGACAGAGAGAGCAAGCGAGCATCTTTAACTGCTGATGAGTCGCCAGCTGCCTGCAGCGCGCACACACACACACACACACACACACACACACAGACCTGATTTAATGACTGCATCAACCTCACCCCCCACTCATTGAGTCTTATCAGAGACACGAGTGAACCCTCAGTCCCGAGCTGTCCTCTTAGTGCTGTCAGTGCAGTTTCAGACCCTGGAGGAAGTCAACATTAGTCTATTTTAGACCCAGCAGGTGTAAGACGTCGGCGTGACAGAGGAGGAAGCTGGGACAGGAGGCAGATGATCTGCTGTGATGCCCCTTAAAGGGAACAGCCAAGAACAAGATGAAGAAAACAGACTGAGCAGATCTAACTTGGACTCTTGCACGTCTTCATTCATAACAGCGTTTGGAATTGAACCAGTGAACAACATCCAACTCCACAGATAAAATAGACTCATTAACCTTTGTTGCATCTAAAGGAAAGTGCAATAAGAACAATAAAACATTTCCAGATATGCAGAATGCTTAAAATGAAGATTAAGGGGAAACAAAACTATTTCCTGTTACTCTGCTGATCCCTGCTGCAATTCTCTCAGTAAAAACAAATGTAAGTTACGTCATGCAGCAGAAATTAAAAGTGAGTTTGAATAACAACACAATGTTACTAAGAGACACTGGAAATTTGACAGGGTGGGAAAAAAAGTGTTGAATTTCCTGTCAGACTGAACAAACGTGCCATCTTCAGTTTCCCTCGTTATGCAGCAGCCTGGTGTGTAACAGACTCACAGCACGAGGCTGAAACCATTTCCTGCAACCAACCGAGGACAAGCTCATTATATATTCATTATATTTATACAGGGAAAAAACCTCCATGCTTGAGAGAAGAGCTCGAGACAAAAGGATTACTTATTATTTGAAACATTAATATGAACACGAGACATGACAGGAAATAAGAACAGGTCCACTTTAACCCCAGTTTCCTGTCTGTGTGCTAAGCTCGGCTAACCGTTTGTGGCATTCGTTTCATGGCCATCTAAACATATTTGATGAGTGCACTTCCCCCGAACTGCTGA